CAGGGATATGGACCAAATTCGGGCAATTGGAACTAGCTGAGTTGGCAACATGGTCAGTATGGACCAGTTTGGGGTGAAGGGCCTGTTTCCATGATGTTTTACTCTATGACTCTATGAGTCTAAGTGTGTCTGGCTGCAGCTCCTCTCAGACAGCGTGGATCAGCTGGAGCAGCAGTTGGAAGCACTGAAGAGTATACAGGAGGCAAAGAAAGTGATAACAACTTCAGGGAGGTGGTCACACCTCAGGTTCAGTCAGGAAGATGGGTGGCTTTCAGGAGAGGTAGGCAGATAGTGCAGGAGTCTCCTGTTTTTAGCCCCTTCTGAAACAAGTATACCAGTTTTTATACTGTTGGTGGGGGGATAGCCCCTCAGGGCAAAATAGCAGCAATATCAAGGTCTTTGGTACCACAACTGGCTCTTCTGAAAAGCAGGGTATGGCAAATCCAAGCAAACAGTTGTGATAAGGGACTCTCCAGTCAGAGGCACAGACAGAGACAGACTCCAGGATGGTATGTGCCTCCTTGGTGCCAGGTTTAAGGATGTCTCTGAGCAGCAGCAAATTCTCAAAGGAGAGTGTGAGCGGCCAGAGGTCGTTGTACACATTAGTACCAACGACGCAGGTAGAAAAAGGGTTGAGGTCCTGTAGAGTGAATATAAGGGATTTAGGTGGGAGGTTAAAAAACAGGATGTCAAGAGTAGTAATCTCTGGATTACTCCTGGTGCCGCTTGCTGGTGAGAGTAGGAATAGGAAAATTGGACAGATGAATGTGTGGCTGAGGAGAAGGTGTGGGAGTCGGTGGGGTGCAGGGATTCAGATTTTTGAATCATTGCAATCTCTTCTGGAGCAGAGGTGACCTGTACAAGAGGGACAGTTTGCATCCGAACTGAAGGGGGACCAATATCCTGGTGGGGAGATTTGCTAGAGCTATTGGGAAGGATTTTAACTAGTCTAGCAGGAGGGTGGGACCCTAAACAGTAGTGAGCCAAGAGAGACAGTTGAGGCTGGTACAGAAGTTAAAGAGAGCAAGTTAAACAGACAAGATAGGCAAGGGTATGGCAGGGAACGAGGGAGGAACAATGAATTAAACTGCATTTATTTCAATGCAAGAGGCCTGGCAGATAAGGCAGATGAACTCAAGGCATAGAAGGTAACAGGGGACTGGGATATCATAGCAATTAGAGAAACATGGCTGAAAGGACTAGCAGCTCCATCTTCCAAGGTACAGATGCTATCAGAAAGAGAATGGGAGGCAAGAGAGGAGGGGGAGAGGTGTTTTTGATTTGAGAAAACATCATAGTAGACTTAGAGAAGATATTCCTGAGGGATCATCTAGTGAAGCTTCATGGATGGAACTGAGAAATAAGAAGGGAGTGACCACTTTGGTAGGATTGTACTGTAGGCCCCACCCCCAGTAGTCAGCAGGAAATTGAGGAGCCAATATGTAGAGAGATTTCAGATTGCTGTAAGAATAATAGTGTGTAATAGTAGGGGATTTTAACTTTCCAAACATAGACTAGGACTGCCATAGTGTTAAGGGCTTGGATGGGGAGGAGTTTGTTAAGTCTGTTCAAGAAAATTTTCTTGACCATATGTAATGGCCCTACTAAAGAAGGGGCAAAACTCAAGCGGCTCTTTGAAAAAAAGGCAGGACAAGTGACTGACTTGTTAGTGGGGGAGCACTTTGGGACCATTGACCATAATTCTATTAGTTTTAAAATAGTTATGGAAAAGGATATGCCTGATCCACAAGTTAAAAGTTTTAAATTGGGACAAGGCCAATTTTGATGATATTAAACAGGAACTTCCAAAAGTTGAGTGGGGGAGGCTAATTGCAGGTAAATGGACATCTGACAAGTGAGATGATTTCAAAAGCGAGATAATGAGAGTTCAGGGTCAGCATGTTCCTGTTAGTGTGAAGGGTGCGGCTGGCAGAAATAGGGAACATTGGATGACAAGGGAAATTGATGCTCTGGTCAAGAAAAAGAAGGAGGCATATGTCAGGAAAAGACAACTGGGATTAAATTAATCCCTTGAGGAATATAGGGATGTAGCAGTACACTTAACAGGGAAATCAGGAGAGCAAAAAGGGGACATGAGATAGATTTGGCAGATAAGATAAAGGAGAATCCAAAAAGATTATCCAAGTATATTAAGGGCAAAAGAGCAACTACGGAGAGAATAGGCCCCCTTAAAAATCAACGAGGCTTTCAATGGGTGGAACCATAGGAGGTGGGTGAGATCTTAGATGAATTTTTCGTGTCAACATTTACTGTGGAGAAAGATATGGAAGTTGGGGAACTTGGAGAAATCAACAGTGAAGTCTTGAAAAGAGTCCAGATTATAGAAGAGGAGGTGATGGAGGTTTTAAAATGCACAGAAGTGGATAAATCCTGGGGACCTAATCAAATGTATCCCAGGACATTGTGGGAAAGTATGGAAGAAATTGCAGGGCTCCTAGCTGAGATATTTATATCATCGATAGTCACAGGTAAGGTGTCAGAATAGCTAATGTTGGGCTGTAAGGAAAAGCTAGGGAACTATAGACCGGTGAGCCTGACATCAGTGTTGGAGGGGATTCTGAGAGATAGGATCTCCGTGCTGTTTGAAAGGCAAACAATAATTAGCAATAGTCAGATGGTTTTGTGCATGGGAACTCATGTCTCATAAACTTGATTGAGTTTTTTGAAGAAGTCACCAAGAAGATAGATGAAGGCAAAGTGGTAGATATTGTCTACGTGGACTTTGGCAAGGCCTTCAATAAGGTTCCACATGGAATAATGATTAGTAAGGTTGGATCGTATGGGATCTAGGGAGAGTTAGCCAATTGGATACAAAATTGGCTTGATGGTAGGAGACAGAGGGTGGTGATAGAAAGTTATTGTTCAGACTGGAGGCGTGTGACATAAAGATCGATGCTGGGTCCACTGTCATTTGTCATTTATATAAACAATTTGGATGGAAAAAAGGATGCATGGTTTGTGCAAGGTTGTGGATGACACCAACATTGGTGTATAGTGGACAGTGAAGAAGATTATCTCAGAGTTCAGTAGGGTGAGTGGGACAAGGCACGGCAAATAGAGTTCAATTCAGGTAAATGTGAGATGTTGCATTTTGGTAAGACAAACCAGGGCAGGACTTACACAGTCAGTAGGAGGGCCCTGGGGAGTGTTATCAAGCAGAGAGATCTAGGGGTACAGGTACATAGTTCCTTGAAAGTGATGTCAGATGTAGACAGTGTAGTGAAGAAGGCGTTCAGCATATTTGCCTTTGTCAGTCAGAACACTGAGCACAGGAGCTGGGACATCATGTTAGAACTGTACAAGACATTGGTAAGGCCACATTTGGAGAACTCCATCCAATTCTGGCTGCCCTGCTATAGGAAGGATGTTATTAAACTGGAAAGGGTGCATAAAAGATTTACAAAGATGTTACTGTGACTGGAAGGTTTGTTTAATAAATAGAGGCTGCATAGACTGGGACTTTTTCTTTCCCTGGAGCCTAGGAGGCTGAGGGTTGACCTTATAGAGGTTTATAAAATCAGGAGGGGCATAAATAAAGTGAATAGCCAAGGTCTTTTTCAAAGTTAGATGGCATAATTTAAAGAATGAGAGGGGAAAGATTTAAAAGGGACTTGAGGGGCAATTTTGTCCACACAAAGGGCGGTGCACATATGGAACGAGCTGCCTGAGGAAGTGGTAGATGTGGATACAATTGCATCATTTTAAAGATGTTTGGGCAGGTTCATGAATAGGAAGGGTTTAGAATGATATGGCCGAAATGCAGGCAAATGGGACGAGTTGAGATTAGGAAACCTGGTTGACAAGGAAGGGTAGGGTTTAAGAATCTGTTTTTGTGCTGTCGGATTCTATGACTCTATGAGCAGTTAAGAATCAACCAAAGTTCTAGTGGTCTGGAGACACGTGGGCCAGAACCAATATGGAGGGCAGATTTCTTTCCCGGAAGGGCATTAGTGAACCAGAATGGTTTCATGGGTATCAATAGGCTTCAATTCTTTTTAAATTGAATTCAAATCCCACCATCTACCGTGGTGCTGTTGAACCCAGGTCACCAGAACATTACCTCTCCGATTACTAGCCCAGCAACTATATCATTAGGTCATTGCCTCCTTTTTTGTTTGTCAAGTGCTTTCTTAAAAACCATCCATCACAATCCCTTCTCCACACTTCTCTTATTTCATCAACAAAATCAATGTCACCAGTCAAGCATACTCTGCTCCTATGATGCTGCTTGGCCTGTTGTGTTCATCCAGCCCTGCACTTTGTTGTCTCGGATTCTCCAGCATCTGCAGTTCCTACTATCTCAGTTACAAATCTGCACTGGTTCTCTGGAATTAATTTCACCCTTTCCAAATACCTGTTACTTTTTCCCCTGATTGTTGTAACGAAAACCCATAACCATCCTTGACTCACCGGAGGTATTTGCATCCTTTTTTGAATAAGCATGTCATTTTTGCCACTTTCCAATCCTCTGGCACCTCCGCTGTATGGCAACGAGGTTGTAAGTGCTCCATTGTCTCCACCCCCCTTCTCTTTCAAATTAAATCATTCCAGAACAACAAGCCATAGTCTTAGGATAAGGGGTTGACCATTTGGGCTTGAAAGGAGAAATTTTCTTCATTCAGAGGTTGTAACTCTTTGGAATTCTCCACCTCAGATAGGTGAGCAGTTGAATATTTTCCAGAACAAGATAGAGAGATTTTTAAGATTAGTTAATTGACAAGGGAATTAGAATTACTGTCATTAATCAGTCATGATCATATTGAATGCTAGACCAAGCTGGGTAGGGCTAATAGCCTTATCCTGAACCATTTTCATATGCTTTCAGTACCACCATGTTGAAAGACGAGTGAGACTGAGTGAGCTTTATGGCTCGTGAGCAATGTTGTAAAGCCATTCTTCACTCAGAAACTGGGCAGTTTGCAAAATGTAAAGTGAGTTTAGAGGAAGGAAGAAGGTAATGAAAGAGAAAGTTGTCTTACATAAAAGTTCCCATGAATTGCAGGTTGATAGACTCTGTCAAATGAGCAGGTGGTGCTCCTTCCGCACGCTGTGAAATTGAAAATTGCCTTGAGCCCTTGGCTACATTTAGCAGGGTTTCCTGATCCAAACACAGTGAAACGTTGAGTCCTGTCATATGGCGATGGCCTCCGGGCAGAGATACATGGACTATCGTAGATGGAGCCCAAAGTCAACGTTCTCTCATACCCTTTCAAATAGCATGGATTCTCAATTCGAGTGCTTAAATCTTTCCCCTAAAAACAGAAATTGTCAATTGTCTCTGATAAACAAAGCATCATGTTGAGAGAGTTTGGCATCCTACATAAAGCATAACTGATAGCAGGGAGTGACTTACAGATTAAATTCAATTGAGGACTAGATGAGTTTATACAAAGATCAGATACCTGTGGTGAGCTGTAGGAGGTTTATACCTAGATTTACAAGTGCCTGGGACTGAGTTACAAACAGGAATTAAATCAACACAGCAATACAGCTCTTTATGAAATGGGAGATTATAGGGAACAAAGTTGTAGTCGATTAATAATGAAATGTAAAATCAGCACAAGACAGAAATATGAATTGATTTCAGTTTGTGCAGTAGGGATGGGTATGCTAATTCCAGACAATATAATGAGCATAAATTTGAATGCATAAAGGGCAATTGGCACAGAATTGGTTCCTGTGGCTGCAGCTTTAGGGTTTAATGTGACATAAATCCATTTGACAGAAAAAGAAGATGGAACTCCACCTTTAATAATGTGGCAATGTACTTTCTGATGGACTGCTGTTGGCCATAGCACAGGTAGCTGTGGGTGTAGATGATGTAATTGTAGCCATACAGGTGGATATTCATCTTTCCTGGCATATTCCTGATGTTTCCTTTTGGGATAAAGGTCAGTTGAGTGGATAATCTCCCAAGGTCCAGCGTTCCATAGGTCTGTATGGGTCCTGGGTGAATCCAGATACCTTCCCAGGAATACTGCAACAAAAGAAAGGGAACAACATCTCTCAGGAATGTCTTACAGCTGATTGATAGCAGCACTCACTTTTACTTTACTTTTCATAAACTTCAGGTCATTTCTTAATTGTGAAAATGTTTATTTAAAGTGTGTTGACAGGATACGAGTGATTAGGGAAATGTATGAGGTATGGAGTGGGGAGACACTGAAGGATGGACAAGGAAGAATGTGGTCAACACTCAAAACACAATGAAAATGGTATCAGTTATAGTCATATCTGCCTCTAAAATCCCCAAATAGTCGGAAAAAATCCATTCATAAAGATGGCCAATCAGAAAAAAAGTCACTCCTGCAAATAGAATGGAAGGAAACAGTGAGGAGCATATTTTCCCGATCACATCTGGTGAGGTGAGAGGTCAGGCCAAGGTGATAATTGCCACATGCCCACCACAATAGTCTTGACAGAATAAGGAGTGAAAGGTGTAGCCAAGTGAAGAGCCTTCAAAAAAGGGGAAAGATTCATCACCCCTCAGCCAAGTTTCTGTTAAGACCATGACGTTAATGAAATTGTCCACAACATGTTGGAGGCTGACAGGGATCTTGTTTCTGTGAAGTGAAAGGGCTTCCTGAAAGGAGATGTATTTGGAGACAATGAGAGACAATTCCAAGTACACAGGACCAGTGGTGCGGGGAGGGGTTGGCTGCAAAGAAGGAGAATAACAAGATTAGTCCCTGAAGAGTGCATTGGGTGGATGGTCAATGAGAGAGTGCGATGGGGCAAATGGTGCTTCGTGATAACTCAACACCAACGATGCCTTGAGGAGTCTTTGGAAATACCAAAAATACCAATACAGAGGAAAGCTGTAGGGCTATTTGAAAGTATTACAACTAGACTCTGGACAAAGTTTCCCAATTCAATACTGTTCCAGACAAGATACTCCGAACTCTTAAGCTCCTGCATGAAGAGGGATGAATTGTCTCTCACAACTATTCACCCAACCTTTCACTTGGTTGCAACAAGGTTAATTCAAACAGCATTCCTTCCCTTGTTGATAAGCTTTATCTAAGTTTTCTTGATTTAACAAAGACTGAGTTAATTAATTACTAAATGCAAGAAGAATTAGGAACAAACACAAATCTCGCAAAATAAAAATGAGGTAAATCTAAAAATTTAAGAGCTTTAAAAAAAAGAAACAGATATATGGTTTTGTGCCTCGATTGTTTGCAAAGCATGGATAATTGAATGTTACAGCAATTGAGGTGGAGATTCCTGATAGTTGGTCATTAAATAGTTGGTTTCATGATTCATTGGTTTTGCAGTGATTTGAGATTCAATAGTTTTGATTCCTTTCAACCATGACTGTACTCCTGTTTTCTTTTGCAGCACATGAGGTGAGAAGTTGTCTTCCTTTACCTGAAAAACAGGGATTCTTTGATTGTGACCTTCACAGCATGTTAACGGTTGGACCCAGGTTGATACACAAGAGAACATCTGCTAGCACACAAAAGTAGAGTTGAAACTGGCCATTTTTTAACCCCAATCCTTTTGTAATCTTCAAAGGGAAAAACACAAAATGTGATTGCAGATGGATAATAATCTGTTGGCGTGGCTTGCTGTTGAACAGGTTGTCGTCAACGTCTCATTATTTTTGTAGTCACAGGAGATCGCAGTCCAGTTGTACTTGACTTGCCTTTCTCCCCTCCTTTATAGGGCTATTGTTTCAAGTTCCTGTTGCATCATAGATATGATCTAGCCTCAAATAATGTAACATGCAATGTAACCTGTATGCCTCTTTTTGATCTGTACATCCTTTGCTTGCTGTGATCTGCCTGTACCGCTCATAAACAAAGCTTTTCACTATATTTCAGTACGCGTGACAATAAAATCAATTCATCAATTAATCAATCAATCAATCAATATTCTGTGGATCTGTCTCTCTCTCATACTCTGTCTCCCTCCTCTCTCCTCTCTCTCTCCCCCTTTCCTCTCTCCTTACTCTCTCCCCTTTCTCTCCTCTGTCCTCTCTCTCTCACTCTGGACAGCCACTTCATTAATATGTGGTGGGGAGTTGATGAGATTTTCTTTTGTTGGAGTTGGTCATTGCCTGGCATTTGTTGATGTGAATTCTGCTTCCCACTTATCAGCACAAGCCTGAATGTTGTCCAGGTTTTCCTATATATGCTTCGGTATCTGAGGAGCTGCGAATCAGGAAACCTCCCCACCGCTGACCTTATGTTGGAGAGAAGATCATTGATGAAGCAACTGAAGATAGCTTGGCCTAGGACATAAACCCTGAGGAACTTCTGGAGTGACATTCCTGGACTGAGATGACTGCCCTCCAACAACCACAACCATCTTCCTTTGCCAGGTGTGATTCCATGCAGTGGAATGAATTTCCATTGACTCCAGTTTTGCTAGGGCCGCTTGATGCCAGACGTGGTCAACTGCTACCTTGAGGTCAAGAGCAGTTTCTTTCACTTCATCTCTGAATTCAACTCTTTGGTTCATGTTTAGGCCAGCAAGGCTGTGATGATCACACTGTTAAACCCGAACTGAGCTTCAGTGGATATGTTACTGCTGAACAGGTGCTGCTTGATAACACTGTTGACTACACCTTCCTTCAGTTTACTGATCATTGAGAGCAGTCTGATGGGGCAGCAATTAGCCAGATTAGTTTTGTCCTGCTTTTTGAGAACAGGACACACCTGGGTAGTTATTGACTAGATGCCATTATTCTAGCATTGCTGTAAAAGTTTGGCTAGGAGCGCGGCTAATTTTAGAACGCATCCACTGCTGCACCCATAGTCCTGGCTGAAACTAGGACTCCTTGTCATTTCTTGATATCATGCAGATTGAATCAAAATGGTTGAAGACTGGCATTTATGGCAGCTCTAGAGGAGTCTAAATGGACATTTGCTACTTCTGGCTGAAGATTTTTGCAAATATTTGCACTCGTGCTGGGTTCCTTCACCATTAGGGGCAGCACGGTGGCTCAGTGGTTAGCACTGCTGCCTCACAGCACCAGGGACCCGGGTTCAATTCCACCCTCAGGCGACTGTCCGTGTGGAGTTTGCACGTTCTCCCCATGTCTGCGTGGGTTTCCTCCGGGTGCTCTGGTTTCCTCCCACGGTCCAAAGATGTGCAGGTTAGGTTGATTGGCCATGCTAAATTGCCTGTCATGTCCAGGGGTGTGTAAATTAGGTGGATTAAACATGGGAAATGAAGGGTTGGGGGATGGGTCTGGGTGGGATGTTCTTCAGAAGGGCAGTGTGGACTTGTTGGGCCAAATGGCCTGTTTCCACATTGCAGAGATTCTATTAAGAATAGGACATTCATGAAATCTCCTCCACTTATGACATGTTGAATTATCCACCACTACTCACAAGTAGATGTGGCAATTCTGCAGGGCTTTGATCCAATCTGTTGGTTTTGGAATCGCTTATCTCTGTCTATAGCATACTGCTACTGTTTATTTCCATTTTTTCATTTTTAGGTATTCCTAATGCTGCTGCTGGCATCTCTTGCAACACAGTTTGATATAGGGTAGAGGAAATGTAAGGCCATAAGGTTACAGATTGTGGTTGAATACAATTCAACAATGTTGATGTCTCATAGCACCTCAAGGATGCCCAGTTTTGCTAAATATGTTTTGACACTATCCCATTTAGTAAGATAATAGTGTCACACAATGAAATGGAGGCTATTGTGAAGACCATGAGTCATAACCTGGGTCACTTATATTGAACTTGAATTACAACATGCGTTGTTTTTAAAATACATCCAAAATGACTCCAAATTCTTCCAAATGGGAGAAATGGACTGCAAAGTGAAGTGTAATCCCCTGTGAATGACCTTGTAAACATTCTTTTTTTGGAGACAACAAGGTGCAGGGCTGGATGAACACAGCAGGCCAAGCAGCA